GTTGAAGCTAGTTCTTCTGTGTGTACAGGGTTTTGATGATTTTCTTTTGCTCTTGTTAAGTTGTTTGCACTAGGTATTTTCTCCACTACTTAATTGTATTTCCAGATAGGTCTTGGATTGAGGTTTGTGTTGTTCCCACTCTCTCCTTCACCTTCTTATGTTGTTATCTGTTGGTGGTTCCTTTGTCGTTGGGTTTACTCTTCCAGTGGGTATCCTAGTGTTCACCAATTCCACCTACTCTTTTCTTGTGATCAGTTGGAGGGGAAGCCAAAATGGTTTATGACAGCAGGAGAGTATTCTATAATATTTACAGTAGCATCCAGTAGAGAAGAGATTTGGGTATGTATAGTGATAACTGTAATCTTCAACCCAACTAGCCACTTTTTAGAAAGGATGGAAAGAAGATAAGTCTCTTGTTTGGGAGGGAAGTTTTATGAGTTGGATCTAGACAGCAGTGAGGTTGTGGTAGGTCAGATTTTGAGGTAAGGTGAGAATAATGGATAGCAAATAGGTGTAGTATGAGGGAGAAAAAAGTTAACCACTACAGTATTTTAGTTTAAGAAACAATGAAGTGGGCTAAGATCTGGGAGGGGTGTTGTGAAGTATTCACAATTGAACAGAACACTTATTATTTACAATAATATTAGAGCAAAAATCATATGACAGAATCTATGAGATATCAAGAACAGGCAGTATTGGATCTTCAATAGTGTGCTAATGGAGCACAGGTGAAGTAAAGGACAGTAAATTAGCAATACACTGTAAATGAGAGGACAGGGGAAACCTGTTAAGTGATACAATATAACCAGCCAAGGCAAAGAAGTCTATACAGAAAGAGGAGGAATACAAAGATACTATTAAAAGATGTAAGAATAATGAAAAAAATAAAAAATAATAATACAAATATGCAGTAACTTGTAGTTTCTCTGCTATAGCAAAGTGAAATTTGTCTCCCTGTGTCTACTGTTGGGATGCCCCCTCTTTGGTCCTACTCTGGTCTTTTTGCAGTTTCAAGGTTTTTTTCTCACTTGTGGCGGGTGGCGGGGGGGTGGACAGCAGAAGGGAGGAAAAAGTGATAAGTTTGGAAAGAAAGGAAGAAGGAATAAAACAAGAAAGAAGGAAAGAGAGGAAAAAGGTATTAACAGATAAAACAATAATAAAGTTAAAAAAAGATTACTTAAATTAAAAAAAAAAGAAAAAGAAAACACCTTCTGTTGGTTTCTAGCTGGCCAAACTGGTGTTTCTGCTCTCACTGGCTATAGCAGGCTGAGGGGCCATTGGTGTGGCCTTTCTCTCTTCTCCATGTACTCAGCCAGTCTCACGAGCACTCTCCCAAGATTCAGACCGGTGCCTCTTTCCAGCGCCCCACTGAGGGAAACCAGGTTTTCTTTAGAGCACTCTTTTTCCAGGATTCACTGCCATGGGCTGGGGTGTAGGAGCTGGTGCCCAGCCAGGCTTCTCTGGTCCCACAGGCTTGGGCGCGAACCCTTCCCAGTGGTATGGTGGAACTCTCTATTCTCCCAAGCTGGTGGTCACAGACTCCACGAACTCCAAGGCCCCTTGTTTGCTTCCTCATGCTCATTTCTCTCTTTGACACTTCAAGCAAACAGGTCTCTCCCGGTGTTTTTCAAACTATGCCTGGCCAGGTAGGGAGGGAGCTGATGACCTGGCTCTCTCCTAAGGACCTTGCTGTTATCCCTTGGCTCCCAAAGAGTACCCGGTCTGAGCTCCTGGCACCCAGTGCAGCGGAGGTGGCATCATTGGCCTGTGGCCTCTGTGCTGGTTGCCTGGACCTTATTTACCTGCAGCCATCTCCTCACCATCGGGTCTTTCAGTGTCTGTTATGATTTCTGGACTCCTATTTTTCTATATGCTCTGGCTCTGTTGGCCATTTGCTGTGCTCCTCTGCACATTGGCTAGGTTTTTCTCGAGGATGAGGTTTTAGATTAAGAATGGGAACCTAGTTGAGCTATGGACTTCTATTTCTTTTCCTGAGATACGGTGACCCTGACTGGCCTGGTTTGGCAAGGGGAGGCAGGACTGTGTGTGTCTGTGGGTGTTTTAAAAGGACTTTGGGATTTGACAGCAACATTTGGCCATTACTCTAAACCTATATAATTTTTGAATAAATTCTTTTTTGCTTTTTTAACCCAACTCTGGCATTGAGAGCCACAGTTCCTAATATGACAGTGGTGGGCGAAGATGAACCATAGAACGAAAGACCCCAAGAGGGGGAGGTTATGGCTTCTGTAACACAGTCATGATGGTTAATATCTGATCCAGCCTGTCATTCTTCACTGTGGTATGGATAAATAAAATGTGGCATATGTATATGATAGAATATTACATAGCTATCAGAAGAAATAAACTGTGTCTATGTCAGCAACTTGAGAAGATCCAGCAAGCAACTAGAGGGAAGAAGTATAACAGAGTGGAAATGATAGTATGAAACCATTTAGGTAAATTTCCAAACACAGGCCACACTATATTTTTAGAGGGCGCCCATATGCCTAAGTAAACGAAACTCCAAACATCAGAATGGAAGTACATTTTAACACCTCAGATTTGACACAGATATTTTGATGCAGCTGCCTCAAATGTAGAGGTCTGTTACTTATTACCCAGAAATGTGTGCTGTAGAAACTCTTTCCTCTTACTTGGCCCCAGGATGGGGTTTGGTGGTGTGGTGAACAGTTCACTTTGCACAAAACTTGGCAAGAAGATAAAACTAAGGGTTTAAGGGCTGCTTTATAAGCCTCATCAAGTGTATTCATGTCAAAATGTTACCCTACCAGAAATAAATAAAAAAGGCCCTGTACCTGTAAATCATCTGGCCTGTGGAAGGACTAATCTTATCTTCTGTGAGGTTCATTTTCCCCATGAATCCCTGTGCTGCTGACCACTTAAAATGGGAGCATTGGTTTTTCCTGGAGTACTACACAATGAGCTGAGGCTTATGCTCTGGGGACCCAGGTTTCATTAGCCTCTCTGTTAGCCTCAATGCTGTCACCTTAGTGATACTATTGTCTCTCTATTTGCACTTGAAAGCAGAGAGAAAAAAGAAGTAACAAATAAGACCAGAATGAAAAAATAACTAAAAGATTAGTAAAACAGTAGAGATCAAAACAGTAAAGACAGACAGCTATGGAAAAAAGACAAAAAGGTCAGGTTTAGGCCAAGATGGAGGCATAGATAGAAATCCTTCACTTCCTTGCATAACCAAAAGGAGGATAATAAGCAATCTAAAAACAATAAACAACCATAAGTGCCAGAAAATCAAACTGCATGGAACTCTGACAACCAAGCAATTAAAGAAACATTCAACCAGACCATCCAGACCAGTAGGAAGGAGATGAGGGAGATGAGAAAGATGGGTGAATGGAGAGAACCCATGGCAAGGCAGCAGACCATGCAGGTGGGGCTGACTGAATGGGAAACTGAGACTCAGAGCTGACTATGGACTATAGTGGGGGTTGCCACAGTAGGAGAATATCCTAGTCTCACATGAGAGTTTGTTGGAAAGCGGGGCTAGAGCCGAGCAAGTGGGCTGCATTGTTCCCTTTCTGACCCCTCCCCAACAGACAGTGCCACAACACAGCAAAGAGGTTGCCCTGCCCTGGTGAATACTAAAGGCGCATGCCTTTACAAATTAACAGGTGCACCAAGACAAAGAAAATGGCCCAAATGAAAGAGCAGATCAAAACTGCAGAAAGAGAGCTAAGCAATGAGGAGATAGAAAACCTATCTGATGGAGAGTTTAAAACCCTGGTAATCAAAATTCTAATAGAACTGATTGAGCTTGGTCAAAAAAAGAAAGAATAAATGAAGGATACCCAAATATTGAAAGCAATATTCAGAGAAATATTTCAATATTTCTGAATATGAAAGCAAAATATTCAGAAAATCAACAGTGACAGGAAGGAAACCAGGACTCAAGTCAATGAATTGGACCAAAAGGAAGAAATAAACATTGACTGGAAAAAAATGAAGAAACAGCCCTGGCTGGTGTAGCTCAGTGGATTGAGCGCGGGCCTGCGAACCAGACAATCGCAGTTCGATTCCCAGTCAGGGCACATGCCTAGGTTGCAGACCAGGTCCCTGCAGGCCAATTCCCCGCAGGGGACGCATGAAAGGCAACCACACATTGATGTTTCTCTCCCTCTCTCCTTCCCTTCCCCTATAAAGATAAATAAATAAAATATTTTTAAAAAATGAAGAAACAAAAATTCAAAAAAAAAATGAAGAGAGGCTTAGGATCTTTGGGGATAACGTTAAACATTTCAATATCTAAATTATAGGGGTGCCAGAAGGTAAAGAACAAAAGCAAGACATTGAAAACTTAGTTGAACAAATAATGAAGAAAATCTTCTCCAATCTGGCAAAGAAAATACACTTTCAGGAAGTCCAGAAAGCCCAGAGAGTCCCAAAGAAGTTGGACTCAAAGAGGAACACACCAAGGCACATTATCAATAAATTATACAAGATTAAAGATAAAGAGAATCTTAACAGCAGCAAGAGGAAAGGGAGAGAATTACCTACAAAGGAGTTCCTATAAGGCTATGAGCTGATTTCTCAAAAGAAATGTTGCAGGCAAGAAGGGGCTAGAAAGAAGTAGTTGAAATCATGTAAGACAAGGACCTACATCCAAGATTACTCTATCCAGCAAAGCTATCATTTAGAATGAACGGGCAGAGAAAGTGCTCCCCAGGTAAAGTTAAAGGAGTTCATCATCACCAAACCCTTATTATATCAAGTATTAAAGGGACTTATTTAAGAAATTGAAGATAAAAAAGTATGAACAGTAAAATGAAAACAAACTCACAACTACCAACAACTGAACCTAAAAAAAAAAACTGACAGTGAAAACAAAAACTATGCAAACAACTAGAATAAGAACAGAATAACAGAAATGGAGATCACACAAAGGGTTTTTAGTAGGGAGAGGGAGGGAAGGAATGGAGGAGGAAATGTATAGGGAATAAGAAGCATAATTGGTAGGCATAAAATAGATGGGGAGAAGTTAAGAATGGTATAGGAAACAGAGAATTCAAAGAACTTGCTTTTTCTCAATGGGTTTGCCGCAGGAACACAGGTGTTGAGAAAACCACCACTAAATCGAAGCCAAAATGGGAAAGGGAAAGACTCACATCAACATTGTGGTTATTGGACACATAGTTTACAGCAAGTCTACCACTACTGGCCACCTGATCTACAATGTGGTGGAATCGACAAAAGAACCACTGAAAAATTTGAGAAGGAGGCTGTTGAGATGGGGAAGGGCTCCTTCAAGTATGCCTGGGACTTGGATAAACTGAACACTGAACATGAATGTGGTTCCACCATTGATATCTTCCTGTGGAAATTTGAGACCAGCAAGTATTATGTGACCATCATTGATGCCCTAGGACACAGAGACTTTCTAAAAAACACGACTACAGGGACATCTCAAGCTGACTTCGCTGTCTTGATTGTTGCTACTGGTGTTGGTGAATTCAAAGCAGGTATCTCCAAGAATGGGCAGGCCCATGAGCATGCCCTTCTGGCTTACACATGGGGCATGAAACAGTTGATTGTTGGTGTTAACTAAATGGATTCCACTGAGCTGCCCTATAGCCAGAAGAGATACAAGGAAATTGTTAAAGAAGTTGGCACCTACATTAAGAACATTGGCTACAATCCTACCACAGTAGCATTTGTGCCAATTTCTAGTTGAAATGGCAACAACATGCTGGAGCCAAGTGTTAATGTGCCATGGTTCAAAGGATGGAAAGTCACCCATAAAGGTGGCAGTGCCAGTAGAACCATGTTGCTTGAAGCTCTGGATTGCATCCTGCCACCAACTCATCTAACTGACAAGCCCTTGAGTCTGCCTCTTCAGGATGTCTACAAAATTGGTGACATTGGTACTGTCCCTGTGGGCCAAATGAAGACTGGTGTTTTCAAACCTGGCATGATGGTCACCTTTGCTCTAGTCAATGTTACAACTGAAGTAAAGTCTGTTGAAATGCACCATGAAGCTTTGAGTGAAGCTCTTCCTTGAGACAATGTAAGCTTCAATGTCCAAAACACATCTGTCAAATATCCATTGTGGCAATGTGGCTGGTGACAGCAAAGATAACCCACCAATTGAAGCTGCTGGTTTCGCAGCTCAGGTGATTATCCTCAACCATCCAGGCCAAATCAGTGATGGATGTGCACCTGTTCTGAATCGTCACACAGCTCATATTGCTTGCAAATTTGCTGAGCTGAAAAAGATTGATCGTTGTTCTGGGAAGAAGCAGGAAGATGGCCCAAAGTTTCTGAAACCTGGTGAAACTGCCATTGTGGATGCAGTTCCTGGCAAGACCATGTGCATCGAGAGCTTCTCTTGTTGGGGAAAATTGATAGCCATTTTAAGACACAATACAGTGACTAGAGAGTGATTTGTTTTTGCAGCCCGGTGGCTTGTTTTGGCCCAACAGAGGCCAAAAGCCTCTTTTGACGTCTCTGGACTATTTATCGTCTACATGCCAGAGATAACGCTCTGCTCCTTCTGCTTCTGTAAACTGCCTCCTGCTTTTGCGTCGAGTAAGGGTTCGAAGGACAGGCCCCCCCCTCTATCTCTGCTTTGGTCTGAAGGACAGGCCCCCCCCCCCCCGCTCTATCCCGCCCCTGCTCTATAAAATAACTGTTTTCCCTTTGTTCAAGGCCCAGAATTTGGAAACTTACTCCTTTCGGTCCGCACATAAAATAAACTTCCACTTCGTACACCCGAAAGCGGCTGAGTTGTTTTCTGTAACACTCTGACTATCCTCCTCTGGGCCGCTTTGCTGTTTGTGACATGAGACAGACACCTGCCGTTGGTGTCATCAAAGCAGTGGACAAGAAGGCAGCTGAAGCAGGCAAAGTCACCAAGTCTGCTCAGAAAGCTCAAAAAGCTAAATTAATATTATCCCCAACACCTGCCATCTCAGTCTTACTCAGTGGTGAAAGAATGGTCTCAGAACTGTTTGCCTCAATTGGCTACTTAAGTTTAATAGTAAAGGACTGGTTAATGATTACAATGCATCATAAAACCTTCAAAAGGAAAGAAGAATGTTTTATGGACCATTTGCGGTTTTTTTGTTTGTGTGTGGCAGTTCTTAAGTTATTAGTTTTTAAAATCAATACTTTTTAAAATATATATTTTATTGATTATGCTGTTACAGTTGTCCCATATCCCCCCTTCATTCCCCTCTGCCATTTACACCCTCTCCCACCCACATTCCCCCTTTAGTCCATGTCCATGGGTCATAAGTTTTTTAGCTTCTACATTTCCCATACTGTTTTTGCCTTCCCCCTGTCTTATTTTCTACCTACCATCTATGCTACTTATTCTCTGTAACTTTTCCCCCTCTCTCCTCCTCCTACTCCCCTGATGCTAACCCTCCATGTGATCTCCATTTCTGTGGTTCTGTTCCTGTCCTAGCTGCGTGTTTAGTTTGCTTTTGTTTTTGTTTTAGGTGTGGTTGTTAATGATTGTGAGTTTGCTGTCATTTTATTATACATGTTTTTTATCTTCTTTTTCTTAGATAAGTTCCTTTAACATTTCATATAATAAGGGCTTGGCAATGATGAACTCCTTGAACTTGACCTTATCTGAGAAGCAATTTACCTGCCCTTACATTCTAAATGAAAGCTTTGCTGGCTAGAGCAATCTTGGATGTAGGTCCTTGCCTTTCATGACTTGGAATACTTCTTTCTAGATCCTTCTTGCTTGCAAGGTCTCTTTTGATAAATCAGCTGATAGTCTGATGGGAACTCCTTTGTAGGTTACTGTCTCTTTATCTCTTGCAGCTTCTAGGTTTCTCTCCTTCATTTTAATCTTGGCTAATGTAATTATGATGTGCCTTGGTGTGTTCCTCTTTGGGTCCACCTTCTTTGGGACTCTTGGAGCTTCCTGGACTTCCTGGAAGTGTATTTCCTTTGCCATATTGGGGAAGTTCTCCTTTATTATTTGTTCAAATAACTTTTCCACTCGTTGCTCTTCCTCTTCCTCTTCTGGTACCCCTTTATTTCGGATGTTGGAATGATTAAAGATGTCCTGGAGGTTCTTAAGCCTCTCCTCATTTTTTTGAATTTTTCTTTCTTCATTCCTTTCTGTTTGGCTGTTTCTTCCTTCTGGTCCACTCCATTGATGTGAGTCCCAGTTTTCTTCCCATTACTATTGGTTCCCTGTGCATTTTCCTTCATTTCACTTAGTATAGCCTTCATTTTTTTCATCTAATTTGTGATCAAAATCAACCAGTTCTGTGAGCATCCTGATCACCAGTGTTTGGAACTGTGCATCTGATATGTTGGCTATCTCTTGGTCATTTAGTTGTATTTGCTCTGGAGCTTTGATCTGTTCTTTCATTTGGGCCATTTTGTTTTGTCTTGACACATCTGTTATGTAGTGAGGGGTGGAGCCTTAGGTGTTCACCAGGGTGGGGTAACCCAATCACTGGGTTGTGATGCTGTATGTGGGGGCGGGGTCTGATAGGGAACAATGGTGCTTGCTCCACTCTGTCAAATTTCAGTTCCTTCTGCTGCCTCCCCCAAGCAAACTGATCCTTTCTGGTGCTGATTCCTGTGTGGGTGGGCTTGTATATATTCTAGAACACTGTGGGTCTCTCCAACAACCTCTTCTGTGAGCCTGGGAGTCTCTCCCAGCACCTGAATGCCCACAGCTGTTTTCAATTGTGTTTTGAGGCTTTATTTCCCAGTGCTGGGACCCTGGGTTGTGCTCTCTGTTTCACTCCCCAATTTCTTCTGGTTTATCTGCATGTGAATGTGGGATCATGTAGCCAGTGGCCTTGCGCACATGTCTCACTTCACAATTGCTGCCTTGCTGGGTCTGTCTGTTGCCACCTCTCTCCGGGGGTCTTCCAGCCACCACCTGCATGCTCAGGGTCCAACTGCTGTTGTTTTGTGCGCCTGGTGCCACCGCTTTTTGTTCCCTGACCCCTGTCCAATTGGCTGCCTGACTCTGCCCTACTTACTGGTCTGGATGGATGTGTCTATTTTATCTCCTTGGATGTCTGACTTCCATACAGTTCTATTTTCTGTTAGTTCTGGTTGTTATTTTGTTTCTAAATTGTTGTCCTTATTTTGGTTGTGTGAGGAGGCACAGTATGTCTACCTATCCCTCCATCTTGGCCAGAAGTCCCTAAAATCAGTACTTTTTAATGGAAACAACTTGACCAAAATCTGCCACAAAAATTTGAGACCCATTAAAACAAAGTTTAATGAGAAAAAAAAGACAGTATGTGTACAACCCATGGACATGAACTAAGGGGGGATGCTGGAGTGTTGCAGGGGTGCAGGGCAGAGGGGGTATAAAGGGGGAAAATTGGGAAAACTGTAATAGCATAATCAATAAAATATACTTAAAAAACAAAACACAAATAAACAATTTTAGAATCTCAAAAAAAAAGACAAAAAGCTCTACCAAATGAGATGAAAAAGGGCCAAATGAAGTCTTTTGTCTAAACGAAAAATAACTAAGCTGTAAAGCAGAAAGCCTGCTGTTCAGGGTATGAGGCTCTCAGAGGCCGCAGCACAGAGCTCCCTGGCACAGGGAGCCAGGCATCAAGGTGCCCACCTGATGGGGCAGAACTGATGGGAAGTCTCTCCCATGCAGGTCTGGCTTCCCAGGGCAGCTTCTCTGGCCTTTGCCCAGGTGGTCTTTGCCCTCTCCCATCCTTCTCCTTTCCTCCTCACTGTACCTGTGTGCCCAACAGGCAGGGGAGGAGTCATAACCTGTGCTGCAGCCCTAGTTCTGACCCCCACTATCCCCAGGGCCTGGGAAAATAGCTGAATCTCAACCTTCTTATCTCTCAAAAGGGGATAATCATAATGTTACCATAGACAGTCATTTGGAGGGCCAGGGCATCTTCCCCATTGGCCAAGATGATGGTGGCTGGGAGGGTTCTTACAATGAGTGTAGGAAAAGCTAAGATAAATGGATAAGGCCCCCAGAACATGGAAAGCTAGAAAGATGCATGGATAGGACCTGAGCACACTGAAAGGTAGTAAGATGATCGAACAGAAAAAAAAGCCTTCCTCTCCCTACCCTGTAAGAACTGTGGGCTTGAAAAGGAAGGTGAGACAGGAGTCCACCATTCTCCTGGGTTGTGTGGCACCTGAATGAAACCTCTTTCCTTTTTCACCAGCATCTGCACTTATGACTTTGGCTTTTGTTGTGTCAGGCAGCTGAAACTTCATTTTGTTCAGCCACAGTAACATGGGCCCTGCCTACCTCCAAGGCCTCCTGTGGAACCATAGAATGCCAAGGAAACCTGAGGGATTTTTATTGAAGGAGACTAAGCTCAGGACTCCCTCTCTAAGAAGACCTGCGTGAATACTTCCACCCAGACTTTAAAAGTGTACCTTGTTATCCATTAACTGAATACTTTTAACACCAAAGATATCCTGTTTATGCTTGGAAAAGTATAAAAGTATGGAGAGCAGGACTGATAAAATGACATTGGTCTGGTCAAGCTAGGATAAACTATATAAAGCAAAATGGCACCACTCATGTCAACCAAGATGGCTGCTAGTCAGCCACAACACTGGTTCAAGAAACTACCTGAGTCATGCCAGACACATCTTGCAAGGAGGCACACCCAAGATATCTGCACACAGACAGGTCTACAGAGAGGACACACCTACTGATAGAGTATGTGGGCTTTTGGCCATGAGCCATGGAATTACCAAGCTAAATTGGGTGCCAAGAATTTGGGTATAACTGAGGTGGACCTAAGACTGCTGCTGAGACAGCTGAGCTCCACACACCAAGGTGCTGACCTATGCCATATAATCTGACTGCTATGCTGCTGGAGGCTCTGCCCTGCTTGAACAAGGACTTTGTTTGCCCCACTGCCAACCTGCCTCTGCAGATTCTGCCTTCTAATATGCTGATGGCTCCTCTGCCTACTGTGCTATCTCCTTGACGCATAGACTGAGGCTCTGGGACTCGGGTTCATTATTCCCCAATTCTCTTGTATGATGCTATTCCTGATTGTTTCTGATTAATTATTATTGTTATTAGGTTAGTATTATTGTTATTAAATTAGTATGGATTTGGATCGAATCTTATTAATAAAAGATGAGTGATTCTGCATTTAAAAAGCTGAATAAATAGCATAGTCTCCTGTTTTGACTCCGTTATTTCTTGGTGCTGATGTCAACTGTAGGACTGGTGGTTGTATAGGCAGCTCAACACTTTAGGTTCTTGAAGCCAAGATCAGATGACCTGAGTAGGAATCAAAGGCTGGCTTATAGAAAAAACTATATCATAGAACATAGGCTTGCCAGAGGGGGTTATTTGTTGGTTCTCAATGGATATTAATTGGTTAATCAATTGATTGAAAGGTCTTGTGTTCTCATTGTTTCCCTGCTTCTCCAACCAGACTGTGCACTCTTCGAAAGATAAAACTCTTCTTTCTTCCTCTGTCCTTCCATTTATGCTATCAAACATCTAATACCTGAGTATATACTATGTTCTAAAGTCAGTTCTAGGACTTGGAAACACCAAACTCAATCCTGTCCTTAGAAACCTGCATTCTGATGGTGGAGGAGAGAGGAGGCAGTTAAAAATTAATGAAACAGCAAAAATAACTACAGAATCTGAGAAATGCAATGTGCACAAAAAAGAGACTGAGGCAGGGAACCACTGGGGCAGGGGTCTACTTTAGGTAGAGTAAACAAGGTAGGTCTGTCTCTGGCCCATCCCCTATCTCAGAGGACATAAAGGTGAGTGGAAAGATGAGGAAGATCTGGCTGGTGGCCTCTGTGGTGGAGTTAAGGAGGAGTGTTCCAGGGAGAAGGAACCATGTTTGCAATGACTTCTGAGGTTTCAAAGTAAGAAAGGAGCAAACCTCCATAACTGGAGCAAAGCTTGAAGGGACTGGAGCAAGAGGGGACAGAGAGGAGGGAAGTAAAGTCTGAGAAGTAATCAGGAGCCAAATTGTATGACAGGTCCTGTGGATCAAGAAAGGGCTGTAGATGTTTTTTTAGGGCAACAGGAAGTTACAGAAGGGTTTTAAACAGGAGAGCAATGTGATCTATTTTATATTGGAGACACTCTCTTGGCG